TCGAGGAACGACGATAGGCAGAAGTCTCCCTAAGGCTAAATAGCTGTCACCAGAGAAAATAAAACCACCATAAAGGAAGTACACAAATTAATAACTAAGCAAATGAAAAGCAACTACTCCAAAGGTGAGTCAAGAAAACACGAATACTACAAATAATGGCACCTAATATATGAAGAATGGAGGAGAGAGAAAAATGGGGGAGAAAAAAAAGAACCTTTAGACTGTGTTTGAAATAGTGAACTAAGTGAGTTAAGTTACAATATTAGATGATAAAGAAGATACCCTTGGACCATTGGTAACCACGCATCTAAAGCCTACAATAGCAATTAGTAAATATCTATCAATAATCACCCTAAATGTAAATGGACTGAATGCACCAATCAAAAGACACAGAGATACAGAATGGATAAAAAAGCAAGACCCGTTTATATGCTGCCTACAAGAGACTCACAAACTCAAAGACATACACAAACTAAAAGTGAAAGTATTTAAAAAAGATATTTCATGTAAATAAAAGGAAGAAAAAGCAGGTGTTGCAGTACTTGTATCAGACAAAATAGACTTCAAAACAAAGGAAGTAACAAGAGACAAAGATGGACATTACATAATGATAAAGGCATCAGTCCAACAAGAAGATATAACCATTATAAATGTCTACACACCCAACATAAGAGTACCTACATATGTGAAACAAATACTAATAGAATTGAAGGCAGAAATAGAATGCAATGCATTCATTGGGAGACTTCAACACACCACTCACTCTGAAGGACACATCAAACAGACAGAAAGTAAGTAAGGAGACAGAGGCACTGGACAACACATTAGAATAGATGGACCTAACAGACATCTATAGAACACTCCACCCAAAAGCAGCAGGATATACATTCTTCTCAAGTGTACAAGGAACATTTTCAATAATAGATTATAAAATAGGCCACAAAAGAGCCTCAGTAAATGCAGAACGACTGAAATTGTACCAACCAGCTTCTCAGACCAGAAAGGTATGAAACTAGAAAAAAATTATGCATAGAAAACAAAAAAGCCCATAAACACATGGAGGTTAACAACATGCTCCCAAATAATCAATGGATCAATGACCTAATAAAAACAGAGATCAAGCAATATATGGAGAAAAATGAACACAACAACTCAACACCATAAGATCTGTGTGATGCAGCGAAGGCCATGCTAATAGGGAAGTATACTGCAATACAGACTTACCTCAGAAAAGAACAACAATCCCGTATGATCAGTCTAAATTCACAATTAATGAAAGTAGAAAAAGAACAACAAAAAGTCAGTAGAAGGAGGAACATAATAAAGTCCAAGGCAGAAATTTAAAAAATCGAGAAGAATAAAACAGCAGAAAGAATCAATGAAACCAGGAGCTGTTTCATTGAGAAAATAAATGAAATAGAAAAGCCTGTAGCCAGATTTATTAAGAGAAAAACAGAATCAACACACATCAACAGAATCAGAAACGAGAAAGGAAAAATCACGACAGACCCCACAGAAATACAAAGAATTATCAGAGAATACTATAAAAACCTATATGTTAACAAGCTGGAAAACCAAGAAGAAATGGACAACTTACTAGAAAAATACAACCTTCCAAGACTGACCAAGGAAGAAACAGAAAATCTAAACAAACCAATTACCAGCAACGAAATTGAAGAGGTAATCAAAAAACTACCCAAGAGCAGAACTCCTGGGCCAGACGGACTTACCTCGGAATTTTATAAGTCACACAGAGAAGACATAATAACCATTCTCCTTAAAGTTTTCCAAAAAACAGAAGAGGAGGGAATACTCCCAAACTCATTCTATGAAGCCAGCATCACCCTAATACCAAAACCAGGCAAAGACCCCACCAAAAAATAAAATTACAGACCAATATCCCTGATGAACGTAGATGCAAAAATACTCAATAAAATATTAGCAAACCAAATTCAAAAATACATCAAGAGGATCATACACCATGACCAAGTGGGATTCATCTCAGGGATGCAAGGACGGTACAACATTAGAAAATCCATTAACATCATCCACCACATAAACAAAAAGAAGGACAAAAACCACATGATCATCTCCATAGATGCTGAAATAAAGCATTCGACAAAATCCAACATCCATTCATGATAAAAACTCTCAACAAAATGGGTATAGAGGGTACACACGTCAACACAATAAAGGCCATATATGACAAACCCACAAGCAACATAATACTTAACAGCAAAAAGCTGAAAGCTGTTCCTCTAACATCAGGAAGAAGATAAGGATGCCCACTCTCCCACTTTTATTCAACATAATACTGGAGGTCTAGCCACAGGAATCAGACAACACAAAGAAATAAAAGGCATTCAGATTGGTAAGGAAGAAGTTAAACTGTCACTGTTTGCAGATGACATGGTACTGTACATAAAAAACCCTAAAGAATCCACTCCAAAACTACTAGAACTGATATCAGAATACAGCAAAGTTGCAGGATACAAAATTAATACATAGAAATCTGTTGCATTCCTATACACTAATGATGAACTAGCAGAAAGAGAAATCTGGAAAACAATCCCATTCACAATTGCATCAAAAAGAATAAAATACCTAGGAAAAAACCTAATGAAGGAAATTAGAGACTTATACCCTGAAAACTATAGGACACTCATGAGAGAAATTAAAGAACATACCAATGAGTGGAAATACATCTGTGCTCATGGATAGGAAGAATTGATACTGTCAAAATGGCCATCCTGTCTAAAGCAATCTATAGATTCAATGCAATCCCTATCAAAATACCAATGACATTCTTCAACGAACTAGAGCAAATAGTTCTAAAATTCATATGGAACCACAAAAGACCCAGAATAGCCAAAGTCATCCTGAGAAGGAAGAACAAAGCTGAGGGGATTATGCTCCCTAACTTTAAGCTCTAGCACAAAGCCACAGTAATCAAGACAATTTGGTACTGGCACAAGAACAGACCCATAGATCAATGGCACAGAATAGAGAGCCCAGACATAAACCCAAGCATATATGGTCACTTAATATATAATAAAGGAGCCATGGACATACAATGGGGAAATGACAGCCTCTTCAACAACTGGTGTTGGCAAAACTGGACAGCTACATATAAGAGAATCAAACTGGATTACTGCCTAACTCCATACACAAACGTAATCTCGAAATGAATCAGAGATCTGAATGTAACTCATGAAACTATAAAACTCTTAGAAGAAAACACAGGCAAAACTCTCTTGAATATAAACATGAGCAACTTTTTCCTGAACACATCCCTTTGGGTAAGGGAAACAAAATAAAAAATGAACAAATGGAACTACATCAAACTAAAAAGCTTCTATACAGCAAAGGACACCATCAGTAGAACAAAATGGTATCCCTACAGTATGGGAGAATATATTCGTAAATGACATATCCAACAAGGAAATAACACCCAAAATATATAAAGAACTCACAAGAATCAGCACCCAAAAAGCAAATAACCCTATTAAAAAATGGGTGGAGGATATGAACAGTCACTTCTCCAAAGAAGAAATTCAAATGGCCAGCAGGCACATGAAAAGATGCTCCACATTGCTAATTATCTGAGAAACGCAAATTAAGACCACAATAAGATATCACCTCACACCAGTTAGGATGGCCAACAAACAAAAGACAAGGAACAACAAATGCTGGCAAGAATGTGGAGAAAGGGGAACCCCCCCACACTTGCTGGTGGGAATGTAAATTCATTCAACCATTTTGGAAAGCAATATGGAGATTCCTCAAAAAACTAAAAATAGAAATACCTTTTGACCCAGGAATTCCACTCCTAGGAGTTTACCCAAAGAAAACAAGATCCCAAATTCAAAAAGACATTTGCACCCCTATGTTTATTGCAGCACTATTTACAATAGTCAAGATATGGAAGCAACCTAAGTTTCCATCAGTAGATGAATGGATAAAGATGTGGTACATATACACAATGGAATATTATTCGGACATAAGAAGAAAACAAATCCTACCATTTACAACATGGATCGAGCTAGAGGGTATTATGCTCAGTGACATTAGCCAAGCAGAGAAAGACAAGTGCCAAATGATTTAAAGACAAGTACCAAATGATTTCACTCATTTGTGGAATATAACAACAAAGCACAACTGAAGTAACAAAACAGCAGCAGACTCACAGACTCCAAGAAGAGACTTGTGGTTATCAAAGGGGAGGGTTGGGAGAAGGCGAGTGCGGAGGGAGGTAGAAGGGGATTGAAGGGTATTATGATTGGTACACATGGTGTGTCAGGGGTCATAGGGAGGACAGTATAGCACACAGAAGTCAAGTAGTGACTCTGGCATCTTAATACGCTGATGGACAGTGACTGGATGAGGTACGTGGGGGGACTTGATAATATGGGTGAATGTAGTAACCACAATGTTGATCATGTGAAACCTTCATAAGAGTGTATATCAATGATTACCTTAATAAAAGAAAAAATCTTAAGGCAAAAAAACTGAAAGTGTAAGCAACAATAACAAAGAAGTAAATCAGGTAGATTTCATCAAATTTAAAACTTGTCTGTAAACAATACCTTAAAGGAAGAAAAGACAGACACATAGAACAGGAACAAATACTTACAAATTGTATCAGATAAGGAACTTGTACCTAGAATAAAGAACTCTTATGACTCAATAAGAAAACAAATTACCCAATTTTTCTAAAGGCAAAACCACTTTATGTTCATAATATTTATGCCAGGTGAGGAATGACATCATCTAAACCAAGCTACCATCATCTCTGACTACAGCAGAGATTTTATTTTTTAATTCAGCTGAATTCAATCTTGATACACTCTCTGAATCTCAATTTTATTCATCTACAAAATGGGTACAGTAACACTTGCAACCTCATGAGGTTATATGAGGATTAAATGAGAAGTCAGGTACAGCACTTAGTTTGTTGCCTGGCACATAAAAAGTGCTCCATAAATGTTGCCTATTATTACCTGAATAAATGTTCAGCCTCCATGAGTCCAGTGCAGGAATGGCATCACATATAAGAAACAAGTCTAACCTCAAAAAAAAAAAAAAAGTTAAAAGCAATTTAAATCTTACTGTAATAAGACTCTCAAAGAAAATAAAAAGATTCATTTCAAAATCCACAGCAGCCATTTAGTATCTTCCTTCACAATTCCTTTTGCTCACAATGTTTCTCACAAACTTACAGCGGACCTGAACCCTCTATATCAAAACCCTATGCTCATTCGCAATAAAACACCCCACTCATTTGGCTTTTTTCTTTCTATTGATCCTCTCTTCTTATAAGCAGTTCTTGGTCCACATTCTGATATAAATTAAGCATCTATCCTTAAGTCCTTCAAATTCTTCAGCTGTTCTTTTGCTCATTATCCTGTTACACAAGACAAGTGTAGAAACTAAATCAGCAGACCTAAAATCTCTCTTAGTAAGGTGAGAAGCAAAGAGAGAACAGAGAGTTTTCTTCTGAGTAGAAATAAATCTTACAAACACATAAATTTAGTATCTCCTCACCCCAACTGCAATATTTATTACTGTTACTACTATTACAATAGGGATGAGGGCTGGCTGCTGCTTCATCCACTTTAGGAACCCTGAATCCTGAGTGATACCACTGCAACCCTTCACATGCCCAAACCAGCCTGTGTTCTTGGAAGCCCTCAAAAGAGCTAGCCTCTCAGTGTGTGCACTGCCTAAGGGAGGAGTATTCCCAAAACACCAGTTTCATAATTCTATCCCATAATATCAAATCACTAAAATCATGCCTTCCCAATTATATACTAAGATACATATAAAAAAGCTATTCTTGTTCCTTTATAGCCCTTGTACATCAGGGTTTTGGCATTAGAGATGAGGCAGTTTGCTTACGATTGGGAGGCATGGCCAGAATATACTGCTCTTCCCCTTTTCACCACCAACACTGCTCCTGAAACACTGCCTACATGGTGAATTTTTTCACAGGAAATGCCTTTTTCTCCCCTACACAAAGAAATCACTAGTTGCCTGGCCCCAGTGGCCCTTAAGCCATGCCAGACATGTCTTATTTTCAAGGGGGTACAGGGGGTTCACACTAAGAGCCCTGCCACACCAAGCAATCACTCTACAACTCTTGAGTCAGAGAATCAAGACCAACATAGTTCAAAGCACTCAGTAATGATTTCCTGGCCATTTATAATCTTATCAAAATTAAAAGTGGAATACTGTACTTTCTGAAAAAAGTTCAATTCCTTTCTGCTGTGTATCCTTCCATAACCCCTACATGATTATCAGTTTTTCAACAAAATGCAATAGCCTATTAACTCACCTCTCTACTTCCACTTTGGGCATGCTGCTGTTCTCTCCAGAAAAGCATGAGTGATCTTTTAAAAATTTTAATCAGATCATTTAGCTTTCTTGCTCAACTAGCTTCCTCCCACCAACAGCTTCCCATCATCCCAAAGAAGGTCTGTACAGAGATTAAAGATGACGGCGTGAGAGGTGAGACAGAGAACTCCTCCAAAAACCACATATAATGCAAAAATAGAGTTAATACAACTAATCCTCAAAAAGCAACAGGAAAGAAGGCTGCACCAGACTGCATACACCTGGAGGACAGAGCAGACCTGGAGGGTAAAGCACCAAAGCCTTGATCCAGTGGGACCCAAGCCCTTCCCCCACCCCAGCTCACTGGCAGTAAGAAGAGTAACAGAGCGGGGAGTGAGTGGAGGCCTGGGACTGCTGAAGAACTAGCTCTGGAAATCTGCTCTCTCTGGGAGCACAAACCTACTTTGATGGTGCTCTGGTGATTAAGGGGGTTAGAAAGCCAAGACAAGCAGAATACCTGCAGAGACTGAAATTCCAGCCACTTCTCGAAAACAGGGATCCATATTCAGCTGCTCTGGGACAAAAGAAAGGCAGGTAGTCTGAGAGACTTCCTAACAGCAAGAGGGCTGCTAAAGGAGCAAGGACTGCACAGAGCTTACTGCTCAGGAGAAAGGACTGGTAGACAAAATTGCCCAGGTGCACTCTGCCCAGCAGGTTGGGAACTTTCACGATCTTCAGGCATGTCAGCCCTCTGGTGGCTAAACAGCTCCAAGGCCCCCCACAGTGCTACACAGCCTGCTATGCTTTCCTCCCAGGTAGCCCGCACCAGGCTTGCAACCTGGCACACCCTGCCCTGGTGTCAGACCAGCCAGAGGGAAGCCCTGCCTACAGCAGCTACAAACGCAAAGCATAGAGGCTTATACCTGTGTGCTTGGCCCACTAATTCTGGCAATGGAAACAGGCATAGCAGGTGGGAAGCAGGACACAGCTCTTACCTCCCCCCAGGCACCAACACCGCTCCCCAAAAACGCCCCCAACATTGCTCCAGGGGCTGAGCAGCTCCAGAGTGTATGAAACGTCAAAGGAACTGGTTCAAACCAAAATCATAAATACACCAGACAGAGAGTCAAATGAAACTGATCTCATGCATCTTCCTGAAAGAGATTTCACAATAAACATCATAAACATACTCACGGAGGAACAAAAAAATATTCAAGAACTCAGGAATGAATTCTGGTCGGAGACCCAATCATTACAGAACACAGTATCAGAAATGAAACTTACAATGGAAGATTTTAAAAGCAGGTTAGATATGGTGAAAGAGATGATAAATGAAATAGAAATTAGAGAAGAGGAATACAAAGAATTGAGGCACAGAGAGAAAAAAAGGATCTCTAAGAATGAAAAAATATTGAGAGAACTGTGTGACAAATCCAAACAAAACAATACTTGCATTATAGGGGTACCAGAAGAACAAAAAGAAAAAGGGATAGAAAGTGTCTTTGAGGAGATAAGTGATGAAAATTTCCCCAATCTGGGGAAGGAAATATTCTCTCAGGCCATGGAGGTGCACAGATCTCCCAACAAAAGGGACCAAGGAAGACAACACCAAGACATATAATAACTAAACTGCAAAGATCAAGGATAAGAACAGACTTTTAAAAGTAGCTAGAGAGAGAAAAAAGATCACTTACAAAGGAAAACTGATCAGGCTATCATTAGATTTTTCAACAGAAACCTTACAGGCGAGAAGGGAGTGGCATGATGTATTTAATGCAATGAAACATAAGGCCCTCAAACCAAGAATACTCTACCCACAAAGATTATCATTTAAATTTGAAGGAGGAATTAAACAATTTTCAGATAAACAAAAGCTGACAGAATTTACCTACCACAAACCACCTCTACAGTGTATTTTCGAGCAACTGTTATAGATGGAAGTGTTCTTAAGGCTAAGTAGCTGTCACTAGAGTAAGTAAAGCCACAGTAAAGAAAAGTAGAACAATTAATTACTAAGCAGATTAAAAATCAACTCAACTACACCCAAAGTCAATCAAGGAATAGACAAAGAGTACAGAATATGACAGCTAATATATAAAGAATGGATGAGGAAGAAAAAGGAGGAAATAAAAAGAGGTTGTATTTGTAATAGCATATTAAGTGAGTTAAATTAGACTGTTAGATAATAAGGGAATTACCCTTGAACCTTTGGTAACCACGAATCCAAAACCTGCAATGGCAATGAGTACATACCTACCAATAATCATCCTAAATGTAAATGGTCTGAATGCACCAATCAAAAGATGGAGTCACTGAATGTATAAAGACACAAGATCCGTCTATATGCTACCTACAAAAGACTCACGTCAAACCCAAAGACATGCATGGACTGAAAGTAAAGGGATGGAAAAAGATATTTAATGCAACTAATAGGGTAAAAAAAAAGGAGTTACAGTACTTGTATCAGACAAAATAGACTAAAACAAAGAAAGTCACAAGAGACAAAGGACATTACATAATGATAAAGGGGTCAATCCAACAAGAAGATAAAACCATTATAAATATATATACACCCAACACAGGAGCACCAGCATATGTGAAACAAATACTAACAGAACTAAAGGACAAAATAGAATGCAATGCATTCATATTAGACTTCAACACAACATTAACTCCAAAGGACAGATCCACCAGACAGAAAATAAGTAAGGACACAGAGGCACTGAACAACACACTAGAATAGATGGACCTGATAGACATCTATAGAACTCTACACCCAAAAGCAACAGGATACACATTCTTCTCAAGTGCACATGGAACATTCTCCAGAATAGACCACATACTAGGCCACAAAAAGAGCCTCAGTAAATTCCAAAAGATTGAAATTCTACCAACCAACTTTTCAGACCACAAAGGTACAAAACTAGAAATAAACTGTACAAAGAAAGCAGAAAGGCTCATAAACACATGGAGACTTAACAACACGCTTCTAAGTAGTCAATGGATCAATGAACAAATTAAAATGGACATCCAGCAATATATGGAAATAAATGACAACTACAACACAAAGCCCCAACTTCTGTGGGACGCAGCGAAAACAGTATTAAAAGGAAAGTATATAGCAATCCAGGCATATTTAAAGAAGGAAGAACAAACCCAAATGAATAGTCTAATGTCACAATTATAAAAATTGGAAAAAGAAGAACAAATGAGGCCTAAAGTCAGCAGAAAGGACATAATAAAGATCAGAGAAGAAATAAACAAAATTGAGAAGAACAAAACAATAGAAAAAAATCAATGAAACCAAGAGCCGGTTCTTTGAGAAAATAAACAAAATAGATAAGCCTCTAGCCAGACTTATTAAGAGAAAAAGACAATCAACATGCATCAACAGAATCAGAAACGAGAAAGGAAACATCACGACGGACCGAACAGAAATACAAAGAATTATTAGAGACTACTATGAAAACCTATATGCTAAGAAGCTCAAAACCTAGAAGAAATGGACAACTTCCTAGAAAAATAAAACCTTCCAAGATTGACCAAGGAAAAAACACAAAATCTAAACAAATGAATTACCAGCAAAGAAATTGAAGTGGTAATCAAAAAACTACCCAAAAACAAAACCCCCGGGCCAGAAGGATTTACCTCAGAATTTTATCAGACATACAGAGAAGATATAATACCCATTCTCCTTAAAGTTTTCAAAAAATAGAAGAGGAGGGAATACTCCCAAACTCATTCTATGAAGCCAACATCACCCTAATACCAAAACCAGGCAAAGACCCCACCAAAAAACAAAATTACAGACCAATATCCTGATGAACATAGATACAAAAATACTCAACAAAATATTAGCAAACTGAAATACATCAAAAAGATCATCCATCATGATCAAGCAGGATTTATTCCAGGGATGCAAGGATGGTACAATATTAGAAAATGCATCAAAATCATCCAACAACATCAACAAAAAGGACAAAAACCACAAGATCATCTCCACAGAAAAAGCATTTAACAAAATTCAACATCCATTCGTGATAAAAACTCTCAACAAAATAGGCAGAGAGGGCAAGTATCTCAACATAATAAAGACCATATATGACAAACCCACAGCCAACATCATACTTAACAGCAAGAAGCTGAAAGCTTTTCTTTTAAGATTGTGAACAAGACAAGGATGCCCACTCTCCCCACTTTTATTCAACATAGTACTGGAGGTCCTAGCCATGGCAATCAGACAACACAAAGAAATAAAAGGCATTCAGATTGGTAAGGAAGAAGTTAAACTGTCACTGTTTGCAGATGACATGGTATTGTACATAAAAAACCCTAAAGAATCCACTCCAAAACTACTAGATCTAATATCTGAATTCAGTAAAGTTGCAAGTCACAAAATTAATACACAGAAATCTGTTGCATTCCTATACACTAACGATGAACTAGCAGAAAGAGAAACCTGGAAAACAATTCCATTCACAATTGCATCATAAAGAATAAAATACCTAGGAAAAACCTAATGAAGGAAGTTAAAGGCTTATACCCTGAAAACTACAGGACACTCATGAGAGAAATTAAAGAACATACCAATGAATGGAAATACAGCCGTGCTCATGGATAAAAAGAATTGATATTGTCAAAATGGCCATCCTGCCTAAAGCAATCTACAGATTCAATGCAATCCCTATCAAAACACCAACAGCATTCTTTAAAGAACTAAAGCAAATACTTCTAAAATTCATATGGAACCACAAAAGACCCCAAATAGCCAAAGCAATCCTGAGAAGGAAGAATAAAGCTGGGGGGTTATGCTCCCTGACTTCAAGCTCTACTCAAAGCCACAGTAATCATGACAATTTGATACTGGTACAAGAACAGACCCATAGACCAATGGAACAGACTAGAGAGCCCAGATATAAACGCAAGCATATGTACTTGTCAGTTAATATACGATAAAGGAGTCATGGACATACAATGGGGAAATGACAGCCTCTTCAACAAATGGTGTTGGCTAACATGGACAACTATGTGCAAGAGAATGAAACTAAATTATCGTCTAGTCCCATACTGAAAGTAAACTTGAAATGGATCAAAGACCTGAATGTAAGTAATAAAACCATAAAACTCTTAAAAGAAAACATAGATAAAAATCTCTTGAATATAAACATGAGCAATCTTTCTTGCATGCATCTCCTAGGGCAAGGGAAACAAAAGCAAAATTCTCCCATACTGTAGGGATGCCTTTTCATTCTGTTGATGGTGTCCTTGCTGTACAAGAGTGTGTATCAATACATTAATAAAAAAAATTTTTTTAATCCTACATTAGTCTGAATTCAAACTTATGTCATCAAACTCACCTACAAGTACCCAACCATAATGCTCATAAAGCTCTCTAGCCCAGATGTATTGCCTCACCCACTAGGTGAGGTATAAAAACTGTACTTATCAAGCATAACTCGGGGAGACACGGGAGAAAGGATAGTGGATGGCCTCCAGCAATTCACCTAGGAAGGGGAAAAATCTACCCCTTTCACACCCAGCACCAAGCTATAACAAGTTTTCAGCAAGA